CCTTTAAAAAGCGAATAGAAGCAATCGTAAACAGCTACCCAGAGGGACACAAGTCTGCAGCTGTTATGGCAGTGCTAGATTTGGCCCAAAGACAGCATGGGTGGTTGCCCATATCAGCTATGAACAAGGTATTTAGTACTTAATTATATTTCAAGCATAATTTTACTGTTTTCTTTAAATATCTTAGTAGAATATTAGCATTTATTTATCAAAGCATACTAATGTGGGATTTTACAAGTGGCAAAGAATTGTAAGAATTCCCTATGAGACTACATTTTTAAAAAGGGAAAACTAATGCAGAAAATTCAGGGCTCTGTTGTGTACACAATGTCAGCCCATTGCTAGAAACTACAGACAGAACAAATAAAAAATTACATGAGCCCTATTTAGATAGGCTCTTTTCCCAGAATCATCCTGGAAGTAGGAACAGAAACTTAAAAGATTTTGTTCGCAGTTGATTTTGGGGAAAGAAAAAGAATGATGATGGTGGGGTTTTTCTTTTCTTGGATTAGTGGCACTACACGCACTGACAGGATTGTGCTTAATCTCTAGGCCTGTAAAGACTTCTGCAAAGCAGTGTTAGTGTAGTATGTGTCATGAGTGTTTTATAACGTCTCACAGCAAGTGCCCAGAATTAAAATTGTTTCAAAATAAGCAAGCAAGCAACTACACTGCTCCAGAGTGATAGGTTGCATGACAGTAATCAAATACCAAGAAATAAAAAAGTCTGGTTTATATTCATATGAATAAACCTATCATATTTTGTGTTACAGTCTGGCATATCATCAGTTTTAAACTGAAAAGTTTTAAATTCAATCAAGATATGTTAAGTGAGGATTGTGAGTGTTACAGAAATTACAAAGGAGTTCAGTGCACGTTTAAAGAAGGGCAAACTTCATCTGCTACTGTTTCTACAGTATAGCATAAAGCCTCAAATTTCCATTAATACTGAATGGGAAAAGTATTTTTGTTTATTTACTCTAAGTTTTGGATTGATACTATGTTTAAAATGATCTTAAGGTTTTTAAGTGAACAAATACTTCCTGTGGCTTGTTATCTGCCTGCTATAGAGACTGGAAACATAAAACAGTTAGTTTTGAAAACAGAGCCAGTTTTCAACCTGAGCAGTTTGCCAGGGTTCCAGGTTAATGAGGTCAGGGATACTTGCACTAGAACTGGCTCCATGGAGATCGTGCTTCACTCCCAATTTATTAGCTGTGACGCCAATCTGCAGATGTAGCTGTGGTGTTTCTAAGGCCAGCCCTGGTGTGTCACAGAACCCGAGACAGACCTGCTGTACCTCAATTAGGTGAGCGTAGTACCTACGTATTCCCGTACCAAAAGGTTTATGTGGGTTAGTGTGGGCAGATGTGTGCAAGTTTGTTGATTCACACAGGAAAAGAACAGAAGTGCAGTATGGCGCTGCCAATGAAAGCCGGAACCCAGCTGGCTCCTCGCATCTGCTTGTGTACGATGCTAGATGCTGGCAGGGAACTGATTTGAGCTCCTTGCTGCGCTAATCCATGGCTTAATGAAGTTTGTGCTTGAGCAGGGTGACTCCAGTCACAGTAACTCAGGTGTCTTTTCTTGGCATTTGAATACAGTTGTGTTTTGACACCCATCCCCTCCCCCTTATTTATCTCTTACTGCACACAGAGGACAGGTGACTCTACTGAAATGGTTTGTTAAATGCCTTTACTGATGCCCTGTGAGAATTCAATATAGTGTCTGTTTTCCCATTGTTACAGGTTGCTGAAATTTTAGAAATGCCTCCCATGAGAGTATATGAAGTAGCAACCTTCTATACAATGTATAATCGCAAACCTGTTGGGAAATACCATATTCAGGTCTGCACTACCACGCCTTGCATGCTGCGAGACTCTGATAGTATTTTAGAAGCCATTAAGAAGAAACTTGGTATGACACAAATTTGTAATACGCTTTTTGTAATTTATTTTACCTCTATTTAATGGTACTGAAGTAAAATTTTTCATATGGTGGGGACAGAGCAATAGTATTAAAAATACGGAGTGAAATCATTGGAGAATGGGCACTGAACACTTCAGATTTCAGATTTGGCTTTTATTCTTTATTTTTAAAGATTTCAGTACAGTATAGCAGAAAATGCCATTGTCTGGAGTGCCATTTACTGGCCTTAAAGTTCTTTTAAAGGCAATTTGCCAGCAAATGCATTATTCTAGTATGCCCCTTGGACTGAGAAAGTAAGCCTTATCTCTTGTACAGGAGAGGACTCTGAATGTTATAGCACTTTTTTGTATGCCAAATAAGATTTTTAAGGTATATGCTATATGAAAGTTGTTTGTGAGGTGTGGGGTTTTGGTGTTTTGTGGGTTTTTTTGTTTGTTTTTTTGTTTTTTTTTTTTACTGAAGTAAGGTGATAGATTCATAGAATCATAGAATGATTTGGGTTGGAACAGACCTCAAAGATCACCTAGTTCCAACCCCCCTGCCATGGGCAGGGACACCCTCCACTGGACCCGGTTGCCCAAAGCCCCATCCCACCCCGCCT